TTTTTGCAGCTTTTACTTACAAACATTCTCCAGGTGATTCCTGTTTGCTTGCTTGGAACTGAAGTCAAGTTCAACTCCTCACCTTTGGCTGGACTGTGGAGAACTCATTCATGGGGCGCCATGGTGCAGTACCTTCGAGGTGCGCTGTCCTACCTGCTGATAGTCGTGATCACCGCTCTAGTCTTCTACAACTCTCTCAACGCTGATTTCACCTTTGACGATCACAGTGCCATTCTCTCCAACCGATATGTGCACACCAATGAGACCGACTGGTGGTCCCTCTTCCAGGTGGACTACTGGGGCACGCCAATTCAGTCGGAGCACAGTCACAAATCCTACCGACCCTTGACCTCGCTCTCCTTCCGACTGGACAACCTACTTTGGGGTCTGCAACCGTTTTACTACCATCTAACAAATTTACTCCTACACATCCTGGTCACCTTGAGCTTGTTTCACTTCATGCTCAACTTAACCAGTGATCATGGAATCTCCCTCCTTATGACGCTACTATTTTCCGTTCATCCGCTGAAATCAGAAGCTTGCACCAGCATCGTTGGTCGAGCCGAACTACTCTCCACTCTTTTGTACTTGAAAACACTTAACTGGTACTTTAAAAAGTCGTACTTACTTTTCGCAATCGGCACCATCCTGGCGACCATATCCAAAGAGCAAGGCCTAACAGTGTCTTGCGTGTGCATTATCTTGGAACTGCTCAACATGTACTTTCACTACCGATCTCTGAGAGTGTTCAGCTTTCTGACTCGACTTGTAAAAGTAGTGAAAAATGAATGCTTTTGTCGGGTTATACTTCTCACCGTCTTCACATCTGTCCTGCTTGCAGCCCGCTTCATAATAATGGGCTCAAAAATGCCCGTTTTTACCAAGTTTGACAACCCAGCTTCATTCGCGCCATTCCCCACTCGACAGCTTACATTCAACTATCTACTGCCTCTCAATGCTCTTCTTATTTTATACCCAAAATCACTTTGTGCCGATTGGACCATGAACTCTATTCCGCTGATTGAAGACTGGCATGATGAGCGCAACTTGCAAACTCTGGCCTTTTACCTTGTCTGCCTAGGACTAATTGTTCGAGCTGTCATTCAACTACATTCTACCTCAAAAGATGACTCATACATGCGAAAAATCAGCCTTGCATTGAGTCTTTCTTTAACCATCATTCCATTCATTCCAGCATCGAATCTTTTATTTCCAGTCGGCTTTGTTCTCGCCGAACGCGTCCTTTACACTCCCAGTGTTGGCTATTGCTGTCTTCTTGCAATTGGATTTATTCGAATTCGTCAGTTCTTCAACTCAAAAATAGTTAGTACTCTAGTTTTTTAAAATTTTAGTTTATTGACCATTTTTTTAGGTTAATTTTGTGCTGTACTTACTGGCCACTTTCTCCATTATTGCTTACTCTGCTCGGACAGTGATCCGAAATCAAGATTGGGAAAATGATTTCACCCTATTCCAGGCAGGTCTCGCAGTGAATCCAAACAATGCCAAATTGTACAACAACATTGGTCACTATTACGAGCGTCAACAGCAATACGAAAAAGCCATCGACTACTTTCAGCAAGCCGCAGCAAAAGATGAACATGACATTGGCTCTGAACTGAATATTGCGCGGGCACTTATACAACTTCCGGGTCGCATTGAGCAGGCAGAGGAACTTCTTTGGAAAATTAAGCCGAAAATCCGCAATTCGGCAAACCGCAATCGAATTGTGCCCAACTACCTGAATCTGTGGATCAACTTGGCTCGGGTCATTAGCATGAATGACTCGCGTTTGGGTGAAGCTGAAAAGGTGAGTGACGAGTTTTATGTGAATGAGGATCTGCTTATTCTAACAAAATTTTGTGACGGTCACATTGAAGCTCTATTGGGAAGTCATCTCTATGAGAAATGACTTCATCGATGCGTACATTAATTTGGGAGAAATTTACTTTCGCCGTCGAAAGTACGATACGGCCATTGAGACTTATCGGTTGGCACTTGATCGAACGGAGTTTAAGAATGACCTCAAAGCAGCTGATCTACACTACAACATTGCCATTGCCAAAACGTTGCAATTAAACAATGAAAAGCAGACTGCGGCTAGCAAGTCTGATATTGAGAAAGCTGTTGTTTTAGCTGAGATTGCCGAAAGTTTTACTAAAGCCATTGAGATTAACGCCAATCACAAGGAAGCACTGGTCAACTTGGCCATTTTAGTGCAAAAACCAGAGTTTCAACAACTGGATAATCGAACGCAGTATCGCGAGTTTGTGCTAAAAGCACTTCGAGCTTACACGAAAAATGAAGAGCGAGAAGTGATTGAGGTAACACTCTGAATAGCGGCAAGTAACTCATTTGCAAAAACACTTTTTTTAATTTTATCATTTTCCAGTTCAACATTGCTATTACTTTAATAGACCTGGATGGTCAAAGTAATCGATTGGAGGCCATAAATCATCTGCGAAACGCCATCAAAATAAAACCCAGTTTTCGAAGTGCACTGTACAACTTGGCCATTTTGTATTACGAGTTCAAAGACTACAAGAGCTCCCTACAGTACTTGCAGCAATTAAGTGGCTACCATTCAACTTACACTAAAGCATTCCTGCTGATGGCCGATGTTTACACTAAATTACTGGAACTGGACAACGCTGAACAGGTAAAGATGAGCACTTTTGTATGACTTTTTGTCAAGTTTAACCAATTGTTTTTAAGATTTACCTGAAAGTGCTCGAATCTGACAGCAGCAATAACGAGGCGCTGCACGGCTTGTACAGAGTTTACAAGTTTAGCAACCAAACTCAGAAGTTTCAAAAGTACGCATCTCGGCTTGCAAACAATTCGCGCAGCTCTTAAAACCATTGTGATATTCAACGAAAAAACTTTCACTTATTGACATTTCATTTACGCTAAGTCGCCTCCACTGTGTGAATTCTCGGAGCATTCCAACTTCTCACTGCTTATGTGTAGAGTTAAAATAAAGTTTGTTCCCATCGTTTTTTTAAATTTAGTTAAGTTCATTATTATAGGAGTTGTCGCAATCGTGTAGAATCTCTTTCAGTTGCTTGATGTACCTGATGGTCAGACTATGGAGAAAAGCACGGCAATTAGATTGATTGCAGCCAGCAAGCACATCTACCACCACCACTTACCGGAGTGCTTCAATCTTTGAGATTCGCTTTCCATGCTGTCTGACGTAGGGAAGTCGTTCGCGCAGTGTGTCGAAAGCCAGATTCATGTCACGCATTCGGGTTCTCTCGCGAACGCAGGCATTCCGTCTCTGCTGATCCTTGCTCAGTGGCCCATGCCCTCGGCCTGACCGGGATAAACGTTTCGGGGCTGATGCCGCCACTGCCGACCTGTTGGCACAGCTGTGACTGGCCATTCGATTTCCACCCTCCGCCTTTCTTCCCCTGGGCCGAGTGTGGTTCTCCGCCTGGTGGGCACCAATCGTGTTCGTCTGCCTGGCGCCCACCCTCAGGTCAGTGGGCACCAGCTGTGTCTGCTGTGTCAGGTGGTAGGGGTGGTGGACGTGCTCAAAGAGCGACCCACTGGAGAGCATGGAGAGGTGCTGCAGCCAGGGACTGTACGTCTGCACACTGGCACTGCACTCTTCAGGTCGTATTGGACAGTGCAGTCCACTGCGCTCCATGTTGCCAGCACTATTAGCATTACCATTATCAGCAGTAGCACCAGCAGCAGCAGCAGCAATAGCAATGTCACGATGTGCAGCATAGAGGTGCAGATCAGTGTAGTAGTCATTGCCATTAGTGCCCTCGTCGACATCTCTGTTGAGGTGGGAGAGAAGAATATGATATCATTTGTAGTGTTGTCGTTCGTATTCAATTAGGCACTCTTTGTTGGTCATC